CCCAGGCAGGTCTCAAACCCGTGGGCTCAGGCAATCCACTCACCTCAGTCTCCCAAAGGCTAAATGACATTTTAAGTTGGATAATAAAAGGTCACATAATAACAGCTCCAATCTTCACCATTAAGAAGTGCAGACTCAATGACTAGGATAATTCTACCTATGTGCCTATTTTTCAGCTACACATCCAATTTTTTTTATATTTCAAAGCACAAAGATTTGTATTAAAAATATCTACATTACAGAACCACACACCTTTAAAAATACTCTAAACTTAATGTCTCCATACAATCTGGTTTCTTCCTTTATTACTTTCCACTCTTTAATGTACTATCCTCTGGTTTTGTCCTCCAGTGACTATCTTGAAAATTGTTTTCTAAAAGTCACCAGTAATGTACCATAGAAGAAACCTAGTCACTGTATCTCAGTCTTATTTTCCTAATTATAGAATGTTTGACAGTCAGGTATAAATCTTAAAATTATCTTCTGCCTTGACTTTTTAGCATAGTTCCATTGTACTCTCCCTACCTCTCTGACCATTCAGTTTTCTTTGTTGACCATTTGTCCTCCTCCTTCTACTGACAAATGTGTCTTTCCCTGAATTTCTGTCACTGGCTTCTTGGAATTCTCTTACAAGTTTCTCCCTTGGTAATCTCATCTACTTCTTTAATAGTTCCAACTGTCACAATTACGTAAGAGATGACCACATCTCTAACTTCAACTCCATTTTCTCTCTAAGTCTCTATTACCAAAGTTTCAAATGCTTGTTGGTATTCGCAGATTTGGATGACTGACCAGGTAGATACTTGTGTCATTGAGAAAGATAGGAAAATAAGAGGAAAGAAATATATGGGAAAAGAAATTAAGCCCACCAACATCAAATGTACATCAGAAGTTCTTATTATCCCTCTTTTGAAAGAGACAAAGAGATAGAAAAATAAATTCCTACTATTAAAATGAAGCAACTACAAAATTAACCAGTGTAAGTGAAATAATCAATGGAGGTAACATTTGGCCTCAGTGTAGGGAATGCTAAGTATGGTGGCAAGCTGACACAAGAAAATGAAGTCTGAATTGGGCAACTTTTAGATTACCCAGATCCAGTCCATTCTTCCCATGCCAGAATGCAAGCTGGTAATGTCAGCATTTTTTTTTTTTAAGAGAAAACAGAAATCTAGATTTTTATGTGAATTCTCCTAATTTTTAAATAGTAATTCAAATTCTGCTAATTCAACGAAAATAGGTCACAGACAGAATTTATCCCATGCAGCACATGTATTCAATTTCTGGAAGAGTAGCTTTGAATAATCCAATTAATAAGCCTGACCTAATAATTACATGTCAGATTTATTTATTTATTTATTTTTTTGAGTTGGAGTCTCACTCTGTAGCCCAGGCTGGAGTGCAGTGGCTGCTCACAGCCACCGCAGCCTCGACCTGCTGGGCTCCGGCAATCCTTCCGCCTCAGCCTTCCGAGTAGCTGGAACTACAGGTGTGCACTACCACGCCCGGCTGATTTTTTGATTTATTGTACAGATGAGGTCTCGCCAAGTTGCCCAGGTGGGTCTCAAACCTGCGACTCAGGCAATCCACTCACCTCGGCCTCCCAAAGCGCGGGATTACAGGCTGAGCCACCGAGCCCGGCTACATGTCAAATTTAAAACACACAAACTAAAAAATATAACTGGAAGACACAGTGGAAGATACAAAACCAAAATACTTAGAAGAAAAGATAAATTTGCCTACATCAAAATTAACAATGTACAATTTTCAGAAAATGTTTTAAGTTAACTGGAAGAAAATATTTGCAATACATATAATCTATAAAGGATTAGTGTACAGACTATATAAGTAACTGCTATAAATAAATAAGAATAGTCAATAGAAAAATAGACAAAAGCAACTCACAGAAGAAAAAATACAAGTAAATGGCCTATAAATAGGCATATATAAAATGTTCAACCTCACTAGTGTGAGGGATATGCAAATTTAAACAAAAATGAAAACAATTTTTCATCTACCAGTTTATCAGGTATGTTTTAAGTTTAATAACACCATGTCAGCAATGATGTGCAGAAGTAGATGTCCTCACAGAATACTGGTAGAAAATATAATGCCACTTTGGATAACAATTTGACTTAGTTTAAAATTTTCAAATGTATATATATAATAACATGGAAATTTCATTTCTAAGATCAAACCATAGATATTTTCTCCAAATATACAAAGAGGCATGGTTGACAATATTCATTATTTGTTATAGCTACAAATGGAAACAACTTCAATGTGTACTAATAAACAGTTTGAAAAAAACTATAGCATATCCATTTGATGGAATTCTATGTAATAGTAAGGTAGCTATATTTGCACCAACATGAAAATATAAATCTGAATGTTAATAACAGAAGCAAACTGTAGAAAAATACCTAAACAATTGATACTTTTTTCACATGCAAATACCCCTACCTTATGCCACACACAAAAATTAATTCTAGGTAGACTATACATATAAACATGAGATGCAAAACAAAATGCTAGGACATAAGAAAATATCTTCTTGACAATGGGTTAGGAAAAACTTTTTAAAACAGAACACAAATATAGTCCATATGGAAAAAGATTTATAAATGGGACTACATCCAAATTATGACTCGTGTTCATCAGGAAAATGCTTTTAATAGAATCAAAGAGCAATTATAAACATCTCCTATTCTGTGTATTGCAACACACACACCAAGTAAGAACTCTTACCCAGAATGCATAAAGAACTCCTACAACACTCATACACTAATAGAAGTGCTTATTTGTACAACTAATTTGGTAAACTGACATTATCTATTGAATGTACACATAGCCTATGACTCAGCAAATTCTCTCTTGGGTGTAATCCATACAGAAATGCATGTACATGTACACCAAAAGACTTACAGGAGAATTTTCACATCAGCCTTTTCTTTATAATAATAAAAACTGTAAATAATGCATATGATTACCCTTGGCAAGGAGAGAAAGCATGGAAGAGGTGTGCGGGCGATTGGAGTAGTAGAAACATTCTATTTTTTGAACTAGGTGGTGTGGTTACATGAATATTTAGCTGTACACCTCTGTGTGCACTTTTGTACACCTCTGTGTGCACTTTTATTGCAATAGCTAATAAAAATAATTTAATTTATAAATGGATATATAAAATGCAACAATTATAAAATAAGCTAGGAAATTAGAACAATTGACTGCCTATTAATAATATTAAAAATGTACTGCTAATCTTTTTTTTGTTTTTGAGTTGGGGTCTCACTCCGTTGCCCACGTTGGAGTATAGTGGCACACTCATGGTCACCCCAGCGTTGACCTGCTGGGTTCCAGCGATCCCTCCACTTTAGCCTTCCAAGTAGCAGGGACTACAAGCACATGCTACCATGCCCGGCTAACTTTTTCATTTATTGTAGAGACAAGGTCTCACCAAGTTACCCAGGCTGGTCTCAAACCAAATTATCTGATGAGCAATAACATTAAAATAATTCAAAAGGGCTGGGCTCAGTGGCTCAGCCTGTAATCCCATGCCTTTGGGAGGCTGAGGTGAGAGGATTGCCTGAGCCCATGGGTTCGAGACCTACCTGGGCAACTTGGCGAGTCCTCATCTCTACAATAAATCAAAAATTAGCCGGGTGTGGTAGCGCTCGCCTGTAGTTCCAGCTACTTGGAAGGCTGAGGCAGAAGGATCGCTGGAGCCCAGGAGGTCCACACAATCCTCTCACCCAGGCCTCTCAAAGTGCTGGGATTACAGGCTTGAGCCACCACACCTGGCCTATATGTGCATTTTTAAAGAGTCCTTATACTTTAGAGATGTACACTAAAATATTTATAGTGAAAAGAATATTATGTCTGAGATTTTCTTCAAAATATACATGGGACAGTAAGGGGAGGGGCATAAGAGGTACAGCTAAAACAACACCAACTATGAGATAATAACTGTTGAAGCTAGGGGATGGGAATGTGGGGGGGTGTCTTCTTTATATAATTCCCTTATATCTTGAAATTTTCCATAATATACTTAAATATATATATAAAGTAATGCATACTCTATGTCTATATACATATATACAATACTATATAACATATTAAGCCACATGTGCTCTAAATTCATTGCAACAGATTTGGAAAGATGGACCACTGAAACCAGTGACAGTGATTAATTCGGGGGGGTGGGGGAATGGAACTGGTAACATCTGCAATGTTTTCCTTTTCTCCAAGCAAACATATTCATATATGTCCAATAAAATTAAAATTTAATTGAAATTCAAAATAAAATACAAATAAATTTTTTAAACAAGCATGTATAAAAAAATTCTTATTTTTCAGCTTACTGTCACCTTATAGAAAGTCAATTCTAAACATTTAAATTTTAACTCAAGCAAAATCTTAAGACTCAAAAATCTAGTTTGAAAACCTGAGAAGCTCTGGTGGGGTGAGCAAACATCCTTCATGTATTACATCAAAGACAAAAACTCGGCCTCGACACAGCACTGCAATGTGATTTGGGGAATATCCTTCACTCTCTAGAATAAGAAATTGAAAACACAAGATTCAAATTTCCCAAAGTTAAACAGGAGTAAAGCTGCATGCATCCAATAACAGAAAATAATCATTTCTATAATTTTTTAAATCATATAGCACATGAACAAAAACTTTTAATAAGTTAATGGAATTTCAGTTATTATAATATAAATACATACTCTTGAAACTTGCCCATGTGAGACATCTAGAAAACCACGAGTTTCAAATACCATGAGAATCATATAAATCCCAACTACTACAGGGTTTTCTAGTTTTATCCAGGGACAGAAATGACAAGGAGAGGAGGGCATCAGAGGCATCCTGGAGGACAGTCACTTAAATTAACAAGCTTATCTTTTGAATTATTATTATTATTATTATTATTATTTGAGTTGGAGTCTCACTCTGTCGCCCAGACTGGAGTGCAGTGGCCGCTCCCGGCCACTGCAGCCTCGACCTCCTGGGCTCCAGCGATCCTTCTGCCTCAGCCTTCCAAGTAGCTGGAACTACAGGCGAGCGCTACCACACCCAGCTAATTTTTGATTTATTGTAGAGATGAGGACTCGCCAAGTTGCCCAGGCAGGTCTCGAACCCGTGGGCTCAGGCAATCCTCTCACCTCAGCCTCCCAAAGGTACGGGATTACAGGCTGAGCCACTGAGCCCAGCCCTTTTGAATTATTTTAATGTTATTGCTCATCAGATAATTTGGTTGTAGTAATACCTAGCTGTGTTTCCCAATAAAACAATTTTCGGTAGAAAAGAAAACTATACTTCAGTGACAAGGGGAAAGAATTCTGCCCAGTCTGTAGTTTTATTTAAGGCTCTGATAATACCTGGTAAGCCACCGACAATGATTCTGATTTCCTTTGGCATACCTTAACTCTACAATAACTATTTGTTTGCTGTAAATCTTAAACTATTCTGATTTAGTTCTATTTCTTTAGGAACTTGTCCCTTTGCCAAGGGTCTTCTCTTCTATGACCCCTACCTCCACTCCCTAAGAAAATTAAAAGAGGAAGAAAGAGAAGATAATCATTGCTACTAGGAGGAAATGTACTGATTGGTATTATTTATAGGTTAATACTAATTGCTTTCCACATATTATTGCATGAAATCTATTCATCAACTATGAGGTCAGACTGTCTACTGATAACAGTACTCTTTTACACTATTTCTCAACACCTAAGAGGTGAGATATGTGTTTTCCTTGCTCCTTTTGGCTACCTCCAAATCATTTATTCTCTTTCCCTTCAAAAACCTTCAGATCCTTTTACCTCTACCACCACTGCCCTTTTATTGCTGTCACCTGCTGATCACATCCTTTTCAAGATTTAGGGCTAGAAAAGGAAAAATAAACCTGATGCCAAATCAATCAATACATGATTGGAAGGGGAGGATGACAGGAGGGAGCTACCGAGGATGAGCCTGAGGGGATATATGAGCAGAGTACTGAAGGAAGTGAGAAAAGTGAGCCACGGAAATTAGGAGGAAGAAAGTTGCAGGCAGAGAAAACAGCAACTACAGAGGCATTAGGACAAGCATGAGCTGAGGAGTTTAAAGGAAAACAAGTGCAGCTGGAATAGACAGAAAAGGGCAGAGTGATAGATAAGCCTGAGGCCAGATCAGACTGGCCTCAGAAAGGGCTTTCAAGTATAATAGGAAGGAAACCAATGAAGGTTTTAAGCAGGAGAGTGATAATGTGATCTGACTAAATTTTTTTTTAAGAGACAGGTTCTCACTCTGCCACCCAGGCTGGAATGTAGTGGAATGATCATAGCTCACTACAGCCTTGACCTCCTGGGCTTAGATGATCCTCCTACCTCAGCCTCCTGAATAGCTGGGACTATAGGTGCACGCCACCATGCCTGGCTAATTTTTATATTTTTTGTAGAGATGGGGGTCTCCCTATGTTGATCGGGCTGGTCTTGAACTTCTGGCCTCAAGTAATCCTCCCACCTCGGCCTCCAAAGTAATGGAATTACAGGTGTGAGCCACTGTGCTTGGCCATCTAACTAATACTTTTAAAAGATCACTCCAGTTGCTACAAGGAGAACAGACTATAGGGAGGAATGGAAGACAAAGCAAGATCAGTTAGGAGGTAACTAAAGTGGTCCAGGTGTGAACAACCTATGTGAGAGGGGATGGTGGCTCTGACAGGGGTGTGACACTAGAAGCAGGCAAGAGGTAAACTGGTTTTTCTTCCAAGATGGGAGATATTACAGAACGGAACAATCCAGTAAAGAAAGAAAACTGATAATGAAGCAGAAAGAGAAAGATAACGCAAAACCAAGGTCCCTGACTAGGCATGAGGAAGTAGGATCCAGCATACATATAGAAGAATTATCCTTAGGAGTCAGAAAAATTCATCTATTTTTTAAAAAGCAAGGGACAAGTATATGAATGTGCAATAATGTATTGCAAGGGAGTAGGGCATGGGAAAATATTTGAGTAAGAATGCTTTCTACGGCTGCTGTAACAAGTTACCCCAACTTAGTGGCTCAAAACAACATGAATGTATTTCTTACAGATCTGAGGGCCAGAAGTCTGAAATGTGTCTTACTGGGCTAAAACGAGGGTGTCAGGAGGGTTGTGTTCCTTCTTGAAGCTCTAAGAGAGAATCTGAGATCACAACTTTCTCATACTGTCAGCTTTTTGGTTCTCTCTTTTGCCTCTCTCTTCCACTAATAAGGACCCATGTGATTATATACTTGGGGCCCATGTGAATAATCCAGGATAATATGTCCATCTCAAGGTCAACTAACTAGCAACTTTAATTTCCCTTTCCCATGTAACCTAATATATGCACAGTTCCAGGGATTAAAAAGTGGACATATTTGGAGAGGCATTATTCTGCCTACCACTGATAGGCTGGTAAATTGCATGATGGGAAGATTGCTTATATCTGTTGAGAATAAGAAAAGAGCTCATTAGCTAAGAAGAAGGAAGAAGGGAGAAAGGTATGAAACAGTCTTCTCTGAAAGTGAAAGAATAAGCTAACAAAAGAATATAGCAAAGTCGTGTTATGGGTCTATGTCAGATTTAACTGAGATCAACAGATGAGGTTTTATGGTTTTCTTTGACCAAGTAAATTGCTAGGGTAAGTATCTTTGATATGCAGCGAAAAGAGATAAGATTACATTTTAAACAATGTTAAGATTGTTTAAAATTTAAGCAACTAAATTTTGGGAGAAGAAGACAAAGATTTGAATGTGTGTGCATAAGAGGAATTAAAGAATCACAGAAAAAAGTGAAGAGTCAGGGGAGGAATGAAACTGTGAAGAGTGGTATTATCATTAAACTGAAAGTCACAATGTGACCAAAAGAACACCTGAGTTGGAGTACTCAATAGTGTACAGTTCCAAGAGACAGAAATTAAAGGAAATGAGAGCCAGGGATCATCTACAATTGAAAGTTAAAGTCATCAAGAATATGACTGAATATGGTAATGGAAAGAATGACAGTGAGAATACAAGAATATGGTAATGAAAAGAATGACAGTGAGACTGGTGCTAAAGCAATCAATAGGCAAAGGGGAATGCCCTTCATTCTTCCCCTTCAACAATGACAAGTAACGGTGATATAACCTACAGGCAATTTTTTTCCCCCCAAAAAGCTCAAATTGTTAAAAAAAAAGGGGGGGGGACGGATAGGGCAAAGGGAAATAAAGAGAATACTAACACTTTCCATAAACCCTGTAGTGCTATGGAGTGAAAAAAAAAAAAAAAATTCCCCTTGAAATGGTCACAAGGGAAGTAGTGAGCCTAAAGTATAATCAAGTTCCAGTAACAGAACCTTTCAGAGAAAAGTTTGAGGATATAATGAATTTTGCTGATCATGAACTACAGAAAGTACAGCAGAAGGGTTTGGGGAAGCAGTGAGGGTAGATCAGAGCAGTGGAGAACTTGGGTCAAATTAGAATATGTACAAATTGGCCAGGCTTGGTGGCTCAACCGGTAATCCCGCCCTTTGGGAGGCCAAGGTGAGTGAACTGCCTGAGCCTGTGGGTTCGAGATCCGCCTGGGCAACTTGGCGAGACCTCATCTCTACAATGAATCAAAAATTAGCCAGGCGTGGTACCGCGCGCCTGTAATTCCAGCTACTTGGAAGGCTGAGGAGGAAGGATCACCGGAGCCCAGCAGGTCGAAGCTGCGGTGGCCGGGAGCGTGCCACTGCACTCCAGTCTGGGTGATAGAGTAAGCCTTCAACTAAAAAAAAAAAAAAAGAATATGCACAAATCTATAAATCCAGGTGACACAGAGAATCTGAACTTTCTGGGAAAAATAAGGTAAACAGGGATGAAAGGCATGATCAAGTCTTAACCTAAGGATAGGTTAAAAAAACAATCAAACTAGTTCTAATTATAGCCTTATTGAGACTAGCCTCAGCCTACGTAGCTTGCATTACGCCTCTCCCACAACACAAATAATAGTTTAAACTTTCTCCTTATCCAGGAGAGATTCCAAGGCTCAAAGTTATAATTTCTCCCTTGCAAAAACCTTTAATTCTTCAGCTTCTCTTTCTTTGTATCTGCCCGTGACTGATGCTTAAGAAAAAAAACACACAACACACCATGTAGTCTAACTTTAAATTCATGAACACACATCAAAAATGGGCATTTGCCACTGTTCAGTAATCCCACATCCCATAGCATGTTTGCTTTCTCCCACTTTCCAAAATACTATTTCAAATCTTTGCCTTTCTCCTCAAATCTTTCACCCTGGCTAATGACCTCAATTCTTGTTTCACTAAGGAAAACACAAGCAATGCAAAGCACCTCCTCATTTTCCTACAACAAAACTGGTCAATCTGCCTGCATCTAGATGCACACTTTGTGCATTCCCTCCCATTTCCTCTCTACCTTGATCCTGCTGAAGACCCCCGCTGAACCTCTCCACCATTTCTGCTCTTGACTCTCTCGGCTCTTACCTTCTTAATGACTTTGGCTCCTTATCTTCTCACCTGCAGGATTATTTTTCTTTCTCTACTATATCACATCTATGATGTAATATCATGTTTAAAAACAAAAACAAGGACGGGCTCGGTGGCTCAGCCTGTATTCCCAGCACTTTGGCAGGCCGAGGCGAGTGGATTGCCTGAGCCCATGGGTTTGAGACCAGCCTGGGCAACTTGGTGAGACCTCATCTCTACAATAATAAAAAAAATTAGCCGGGCGTGGTAGCGCGCGCCTGTAGTTCTGGCTACTTGGAAGGATGAGGCAGAAGGATCGGCAGAGCCCAGCAGGTCGACTCTGGGGTGGCCGTGAGTGTGCCACTGCGTTACAGCCTGTCAATGGAATGAGACTCTAACTCAAAAAAAAAAAAAATTAAAACATTAAAAATATTCCCACTGCACATCAAAACTTTTTGCAAGCATTCTTTCCAGTGCTGTCACTGCTTCATCTCCTCCCACTGGGCCTCCTTCTCTAACTTTCACTAAGACTGTTCTTACAGTCTCTGCAAAGGGCAGCCTTTGTCCACATTGTACTGACAAATCCAACGGTCACATTTTCACCTCATTTGATTTCTCAGGAGCTTTAGATGAACACTTCCTTCTCTTGGTTTCTAGGAGACCACTGTCCTTGTTTTCTTCCTACCTCCTTGTCTCCTTTGCTGGCTCCTCCTCCTCTGACTAGCAAATCCTGTACTGAATTGTGATAAGGTTCAGTACTGGTTCCCCTGATCATTTTTTATATATGTTCCAAAAGTAATCTTGGCCTACTCTTAAAAACAATTTCTATGCCTAGTGATGACTCCTAAATCCCTATCTGTAGTCCTGAATTCTCCCCCGAACTACAAATTTTGTGTCCAACTGCCTACTTGCATTTCCACTTAGTTGTCTAAAAGGCATCTTAAATTCAACAATCTAAAAAACTTCTTGATTTTCCTCGCTAAAACATCTCCTCCCAATATTTCCCACCTCATGAACGTACACACCCTTCTACCCTGTTAGCTGCTTGAGCCAAATATCGTGAAGCCATCTGATTCCTATTTTTCTCTTCTATCTAACAACTGATATAGAAATAATTCTGCTAACCCAAATCCAAACTATATCCAGAGTGTGATAACTTTTGACCACTTCTATACCACAACTCTAGTAGAGCCATTATTATGGCTCACTTGCATTACTATAAAAAATTTCGAATGGATTTTCCTGCTTCTTATGTGTCTCTCTTAAAAATCCATTTTTCAAACAGCAAGTAGAAAGATATTTTTTAAAAATAAATCTGATCCCATCATTCCCTTTCTAAAAACTCACTAGTCGTTTCTACTCCATTGTTAATGAAGGCCAAAATACCTACTTTGGTTCATGAAGTACTTTTATGATCTGCCCTCTTGTCACCATTTCAATCTGCCTACCTCCCTTGCCTGCTCTGTTCCATCTATATTGCCCTCTGAACTTGTCAAGTTTACTCCTGTCCAGGAAAAACTGCCCCCACCCACACAAAAAATAAAGACAACAACTACAAAAAACTGAACTTAACCAAAAATTGATGGAACTCCATCTTATCATTCAGATCCTCAGAGAAGCCTTTCCTGCTACCTAATGTAAAATAGTCACACCGTTACTCATCTTATGTGAATTCTCTATGTAATATTTATCACTCTCTGATATTTTTTCATGTTCACTTATCCCTATCTCTATACCTCTTCACACAGCCATAAGTCCAAGAATATAATAACCATGACTACATCAAGAGACACATTACTAGATTACTGAATCCTCATTATACACACTGCAGCTCAAAAAAGAGTTACCTTATCTAGGACATCCCTACCTCTAAGAAGAGTGACTCCAGGCATCCACTTCATGTTAGAAAAAAAATGCATACTTACAAAGAAAAATGGGGCATGATGAGCATATATAAGCAGACATCAAAAAGATAATTCAGATAACAGGGAAGGAAGGCAAAAAGAAAAGCATCCAGATCAAGTTTCAGTATGTCCTTAATATTCTGATTCATAATTCCACTCTTCAACTACATGTTAAGCTCTCAAATGATGCAATATAAACATCAACTTTGTCTTGACAGTTTAGAAAATCTACTCCCATAAATGACATCCAAACTAATCAGAATGACTCAAATCTAAGGCTCACAGAAAGCCTTCAATTTGGCAAAGCCCAAACAGAAATATTCTTTAAAACTATATCACCATTGTGTCATAGTAGAAGGCTACCAAACACCTACTAAAAAATTGCTTAAATAAGTACCCATATTTTTACTTACCAGTCTTAAAGTAATTCATAATTGAGTCTCTAGTAATTCCTGGAACTTTACAGGTGGAAAACAGCATTCGGAATTGATTCATATCTAGAGGAGTATTTCCAACTTTATGAACAGGCACTTTTTCTCTATAAAAAAAATTATTTTGATCACAAAGTCATTTACAAAATTTAAAATTTAAATACTGTAGTATTTATCCCCCAAATAAGTAAATTAAGCTTCTTAACATTTTGTCACCTGAGACTTCAGGTAAAATTTTTATTAAATTCACATGTCCTTACTTTCTTAACAGCTGCCAGTAGTTCAAATTATGCCAAAGAATTATACTTCCTCTTTCTAATTGAGTGCCTTCTTTTGGAGGCCAGTAGTGTTCAAAATGAGCTGCAGGACCTGCAAAGTTGACATTCAGTTGTGATGGTATACGAACATCCAGATAGGCAACATTCAGCCACCATTCCTCCAGCTAAAAGAAATTGAGAACATCAGCTTAATGTTCTTCATAATATTTGACTGTGTAACTGCTGGCAATACAAAAAGCAAGCTACATTTGTTCTTTAATTATTCTTTAATAATTAAAAATATGTTTTGTTTTAAATCATCATAGATGTTGAAAAATACTTTCCCTGCATGATGACCACTTGTATATCAAATCCTGAATTGTACCCCACATATTTAAAATAAATTTTAAAAAAGAAAAATGCTATTGTAACCATTTTTTTTGAACTATAGAATCTTAGATATTATTTGGTTAAACTTCGCTATCAAAAACATGTAACAAGAAAATACTGAAAGGTACTTTCAGACAGATCATTATATTGAAGTCACAAATACCCAACAAAGTACTTAGGTGTTTTTTCAGAATTCTTGGGGTACAACAGTTATACAACAATAAATCTTCACCTAATGATAACAGTTACTAAGACATTTACATGTTTTCTTTTCCAAACAAAAACAGAACTACTAAATCAGAAATGCAAAAACTTTTCAGTGGGCTTAAAACTAATTGAGATTTTTTTCACAGACACTATTTTCTGTGTCCCTCTTTCAGAATATGCAAATGAATTCCATGCATTAGTAAGCAACATCTTATCAAATTACCCGAAGTTCTTTTCGAAGAAATTGATGTTATAAACTATAATTAGCAATTCAGAAAGAGACACAGCAAAAAGGATAGAGGCAAACAACTTCTTTACCTTTACCCTACTTTCATTAAAATCACTTAAGGCAGCCGGGCTCGGTGGCTCAGCCTGTCATCCCACACCTTTGGGAGGCTGAGGTGAGTGGATTGCCTGAGCCCGCGGGTTCGAGACCCGCCTGGGCAGCGAGACCTCATCTCTACAATAAATCAAAAAATCAGCTGGGCGTTGGTAGCGCATGCCTGTAATTCCGGCTACTCGGAAGGCTGAGGCGGAAGGATCGCCGGAGCCCAGCAGGTTGAGGCTGCAGTGGCCGGGAGCGGTCACTGCACTCCAGTCTGGGCGACAGAGTGAGATTCCAACTCAAAAAAAAAAAAAAAAAAAAAAATCACTTAAGGCTCAAAATTGAGAACAAAGGAATCTGGAAGTGTAAAATTGTCTTACTCCATCATAGCTATCAATGACTCAGAAAAAAATCAATTTGCTTTTTATTTCTAAAACTAAAAGACAGTTACAATCATTTCTAGATTAAGGCAATGCTTTTTACTTATGAAAACTCATCCTCTGGTTTATAATAGGAAGCAGAGAAGCAGTTGAGTTGAGTCAAGGGAGATTCCTTGTGGAAAATTACTGAGACCCTCAATAATTATTAGACCAGCTTCTCCTTCAATTTATCTAATCAAAACATACAATATGCATAACCATTCTCCATTCCAATTTTTAATGGCCTCTTTTCTCCCATGTACTGTTTAAATATTTCTACTCCACCCTACGTGACACATCTCTTTTAGGGTTTTGGGTTTTTTCAGACTAGTCACCTGGTCAAAATGTTTTTCATAGGCATAGTCTACAGATCACTTGCACCAGAACCACATGGAGCGGTTGTCAAAATACGGATTTCTGGGTCTCATTCCAGACATACTGAATTAGAACTACTGATTCCAGGGAAATCTGCATTTTAACAACTTCTCAAGTAAATTGGAGGCCCACCCACAATATTCAAAACTCCCAGAGTTAAGTGATTAATTCATTCTTTTGGATTATAATGACAATAATGACTGCAAAAATTTTTATAGTAGTAATTTATTTAATTATATTAATTATTTATTTTTTTGAGTTGGAGTCTCACTCCATCGTCCAGGTTGGAGTTCAGTGGCATGCTCACGGCCATGCCAGCATCGACCTGCTGGGCGCCTCAGCCTTCCAAGTAGCTGGAACTACAGGTATGCACTACCATACATGGCTAGTTTTTATTTATTTATTGTAGAGACAAGGTCTGGCCAAGTTGCCTGGACTGCTCTTAAACCCGTGGGCTCAGGCAATCTACTCACCTCAGCCTCCCAAAGTGCTGGTTGAGCCACTGAGACCGGCCTATAGCAATAATTTAAAAATGAAATCTATGTACATTTTTATTTTTCATTTTTTAAACATATCAATTTTTCAGTTATAACAACAAATACCCAATTTCTTTTTCCTTTTGCTCTCTCGAGTAATTTCTGTTGCAATTTTTCTCCAATCCCATTTTGAAATTTTTGAACTATAGCTTCTGTTTTCTTATATTCTTCTTCATTTGCAAATGGCTTTACTAGAAAGAAAAAAGACATATTAAGGTATTCAGACATCAAGTACCACCAACTCACCTCTATAATTATTACTTACACAAAACCTTAAGAGTCAGATATGTAAAACACAGTATTTTATTAAATATCATAGCAGCATAATAAATAAGAATTTACAATCTGGAAATGGCTGAAAAGCAACAAAACAAAATACTGTAAAAAAAAAAAAAAAAGCCAGTGGATATTATATAATCTGACAGTTTTCTGAAAAATTCTTTTAAAACCATTCTAGATGATAGTGAACATTATGGAGGTGGGACAAATGTCTAGCTATTAGTCTAGTGAAGAAGTAATCCTGTTTAGCCACAATTAAGAGAAATTAAAGCAACTTTCCATGAATGCTCAGTTTAGAACCTTGAACATTATATATATAAATGTAATATGCATGTAAGTGTAAATCATACAACAGAGTAGTCTAGGGTGCCTCAGGGCCAATGTCTGCCTTCCTCCAGAAAAGGATATAAAAGGTCTCTAATCCATGAAATAAATTAGAAATCAGGAAACATCAATATCTCCCTTTTGTGTGATTTTTGCTTTTTCAATGACAAACTGTAAAAATCAATCTAAATAGCTATATTCAGAGACAGTATGAGTGAAGATCCAAAAACAGTAGATAATCGGTTAATTTTTAAAAAAAAGAAATTAAAATTCCTGGATGAAAGCAGGTAAGAGAAAACTTTTAAAAAGGCAAAAATTCACAAGGACAGAGAGAAAACAGCAGATAAGTTAAACTAATATTTTACAAATTAGAAAACATAGAGAAAAATGGCAACTGGCTCTGCAGAAGAAAGTTAACATCTAAAACCAGGGGAGTGGAAGGGGGCAAGAGATAGGGGTAGGTTAGGTGCCAACTAAGTAGCAAATCAGCTCCTGCAGTAGAATCCAGGAAAGATTCAAGACCTCAAAGACCAGGGAGATTGCTTGAATGTCTTCAAAAGCAGCAGTTAGGCAACTACCTCACCCACACTGGCCCTTGTAGAACTCTTCCTCCACTCTACAAACCCAGGCAACTTCCTCCCAACGCCAATAAAAAGCATTTACCCTCAGAAGATAAACCAGACAAGACAGAATATGTGGATTTCAGTCCATATTAAACGATGAGTCCCTCCAACTTCCTTCCCCCACTTAGCTCCCCAAACACTGGCTTGTTTCTTCTATGCAAGAGATGAGAGGATTCCTCTTTGGGGAAACTGAACAGTATTTGGGTATGCCCTAATGGAATCGTTAGGCTTCTACCCTATTCCAGCAACAAGGCCCACTAAAGTCTTACCAGTCTGCTTTTCAGTTTCACGCTTAAATATGAATGACTAAGAACTGCCAAGGATTTGAGGACAGCCTCTTACATGGGAGTCAGAAATCAAATCAAACAAACAAAAGGATTAGTGATATCAGTCAACAAGACCAAAAAGGAAAAGGATCTAATAATGAAAGGGAAAACATGTCTTAATTAAAAACTTAGTCCAAAAGGATTCAGTCTCAAAAGGAAAGAACAAAGGAGGAGAAAATAATCAAAGAAACATTATTTTTAAAATTCCCTTGAACTGAAGAGCATAACTTTAAAAAAAACTATAAGAACCCACTGAATGCTTAGAGAAATGAACAAAAAAAGCTACCCACCAAAGGATATCACTGAAAAATTCAGAATGCTAGTAATAAAGAAAAAGGGATTGGAGTAAAAATCAATGGGTTATATACAAAGGATAAAAAATCAGAGTCGCATCAGACTTCTCAAGAGGAAAAATGCCTTCAAAACAATCAACTAAACATATATTTTAGGTCTTACATTTCTTTTTCTCACAAGCATCCTTCTCAAGAATCTTCTGAAGATGTATCAAAATAAGGGAGTGAACCAATAAAGGGGAAGACGCGGACTTCAGGAAACAGAGACTCCAACACAGGAGAGAGAAGTGGAGAGAACTACCAGGACAATGGCAAAGGAAAGCCCCAGGATAACAGAAGTCCAGCAAGTTGGAGAAAAGCTAACACTGATTAAAGCAGGAGTGTACATTGCTCCAGGAGGGATGTCTCAAGAAGAAAAGAAGCCAACAGAATCTCTTATGCATATACATGTATTCAGGAATTTTCAGAGTATTAAGGTATTTGGAAATGAATTATTTATGAACGCAAAGCAAACTAAGCAAATGAAAAATGAGGAAAAACAAAAAATGCAGCAAAAAATAATCAAAGTACAATGCATGGTTTACTTTTGAATGATAATCACATAATCATAAACTCTGAAAGGTCAGGTGAGTTAAATCAGGTAAACACTGATTAAAATCAGAAGAAATCCGTATTAAACCAAGTGACTACTGGTTTAATACCCAATGGTGAGTTTGAACCACTATACTGAGAGAATGGGAGGAAAAATATAAGTATGCTGAATTGTGTATATGTTGAGGGCAGAAAGGGTTCGGAGGTATAAGAGAGCATAATCTATATATTTCTAGGAATTAGCTTTTTAAATCTACAAATAAAAGACCTTATATTACAGCTAAATAGTAACATAAGAATGTCAGTTTAAATATGAAGATAAAGAACACAAGAAACAGATAAAAGATCTGGAAATTCTTGCCTGAGGGAGTGGGATTTACAAAGCAGGAGGAGGCCAGGGAGATATGGCAGAGAACTACATTTTTCACTTTAAACCTATTAATATTATCTGGCTTTAGAAACTATGGAAAAATTAACATAAACAGAGAAAAGTTTTGGATACATTAAGGTCACAACTGCATGTAAGTTCTACTGAGTGTGCCTGCCTCTCTTGCCCACTTCCTGAGACAGCAAGACCAAGCACTCATCTTCCTCCACCTACTCAGCATGAAGACGACGATAAGCAAGTCTTTATGATAGTCTACTTCCACTTGATGAATAATAAATTATATTTTCTCTTCCTTGGGATTTTCTTAACATTTTCTTTCTCTACTTTATATTAAGAATATGGTATATAATATATTCAACATAGAAAATATGTGTTAATGGACTGTTTATGTTATCTAAAAAGTTTGTGATCAACAGCAGGCTAAAAGCAGTTAAGTTTTAGGGAAGTCAAAAGTCATACTCAGACTTCTTCTTTGGGCGGGGGTCAGTACCTCTAAGCCCTGCATCATTCAAGGATCAACTGTACTTTAATTACCACAAGCCCAGAAGAAGAAGCAATTAGAACCTCTAACAAATAGTATCACAGTTTTCCAAGTTGCTAATAATATTAATGTATGCTAAATGATTATGAACATACCTGATTCAAGGTATTTTTTTAATGATTCTTCAAGCGAAGGCACAGGCAGCGACGGAAGAGAATCCTGGTACTGAAATGTTCGTTCTTCAGTTGACTTAGCCAATTGATTTTCCATAGTAAAATCACAATAGGAAAACTAAAGAAAAGAGAGAGAGCTGTCGCAACTTCAGTCTCATAAACACCCTTAGATATGCTAGGTCCAATTCACTAAACCAATATTTTGGGACCACAGTATATTCAGGACTTGGTGTCAGTTCTTATGAAATGAATAAGCCGGTCAGACAGAGAAAACTAACTTGAGAGAGGGAGAGAAAACAGGCTCAAAGTCAGAGTGATCAATGGGACCCATAAAATTAATAACCGTTTTTGAACACCTACCATTTGTCAGGTACTGCAGTATACATTACAGAAAACATGATATTTCCCTAATCTGCATGTTATCTCTGAAAGGTGGCAGAACTGACCTTAAAATTGGGATATTATCCAGGTGGATCTAATTTATTACTTCAGTCCTTAGGAACGGAGAGCTTTCTCTGCCTGGTGGCAGAAGAGGAGTCAGAGAGTTTTGAAGCATGACAAGGATTTGTGGTGCTGTGGCTGGCTTTGAAGATGCAAGCAGCCTTAAAGAACTCAGAGAGGCCCCGGCTGACAGACAGGAAATGGAGATTTCAATCCAACGCCTGTTTGGAAATTGAATTCTGCCAACAACCCAAATGAGCCTGGAAGTAATTCTCCCCCCAAAGCCTTCAGAAAAGAAAACCCAGACCTATAGAAACCTCGATTTCAGGTTTGTGAAATTCTAAGCAGAGTATTCAACTAAACCAACCTGGACTTCAGATCTGCAGAAGCTATGAGATAATACATTTGTGTTGTTTTAACTATAAACTTTATGGTAATTTGCTATGGCAGCAATAGAAGACGAATACACACATACAGGGAAGATAAGCTATTCTCTGTTTACTTCCCAGCCACTTAATAGGCTCTAGAAAACTGGGAGTAAGAGTACTAATTTCATACTCAACTAGAGAGCTTTTTACATTAAAAATAAGAATTATCAGACTCTTACTTGAGAGTTGTCTTGAGTTCTGAACCACAAAGATTAAGTTAAACTGTGTAATGCCAACAGCATTAAGAAAATGATGATACTGGATTTGATTAGAGACGTCTTCCCGGGGGGCCGTAAGATGTGTACTCACAGAAAGTGGAAATGAGAACCTGGAACAGGTGAAGGAACTCATTCACACCAGTACACCATGAAGGTGAACTGCTTAAGGCTGCCAGGAGCCTGCTGTAACAACGGTTTTGAGATCACAGGGAACTGAACGAGGCTGATGACTGCGGAAAGGAAGAAACAAGCTTAACAAACATTGGGCGGCGGCCGGGGGAAGGTATTAACAAACGCTAGGGAGAGGTGGAAGGCAGACGTTATAGGAGTTGGGGCCCAAGACGAAAACTTTTGGAATCACTGCAAACACAAGCAAAAAGTCCACCTGCTACTGCAGAATTCCATTACTTTAGGACCAGCTAGGTTTCAGACAACCACACCTTCCACGAGGCGGGTCCACGGGACATAAGGTACCTTTCGGTGCCCGAGTATCTGCCGGCAACGCGTCGCAGGGTGACAAGGGTCGACGCAGGAGGAAAGGGCAACGATGACACCACACCCCCGCCAAATCCGGGCACCTCTGCGGTTCCACACGACTAACTCTGTTCGACACGACCTAACATTCCGCCGCCCCGAGGCAGAGGGTTAGGGGAAGTAGGGAGTGCTGCTTCAGCGGGCCTGCCCGTCCTCACCGCCCGCGCCTCGCCCGCTCCGTGCAGCCCACAGCTGCGTCTGCCCGATCCCTCCGGGCCGCAAAGGAGCGGGAATTGGACGGAAGGCCGAGAGGGTCCCGCCCCACGCTCGTCGGGGAACGGCATTGGACGGAATGCCACGAGGGTCCCGCCCCGCGCTTGTCGGGAGACACGATTGGACGAAAACCTAGGAGGGTCCCGCCCTGTGCTTGAGGCCGGGGGCGGGCCGGGCCTGCGCTATAGTGGGACCCGGCCCGGCCTCTCGTTGGTATCCTCCACCCGGCTCTCGGTTGTGGGCTGCCGGCTTAAGAAAGGCTTACCGGGTGTCGAATGAGCAGTCCGAACTCTGCGGGGCAGCAGCTTCCTGCCTGGTGTTGGGGAAGCTCGGTGCCCTGACCCGAACCCGGCGTGCGTTCCCGGGCGGGCCAAGCTCCGCCTACGGAGGTACCCAGCCCTCTGGGATGGATGCGGGAACCGAGGGCTCAGGCCCATTTCCATCCAGGTTCTGCCCTGTTTCCCTTCGTCTTCTTCCAGCTCTGGCTCAGCAGCCGCTCCTCCCGCTTCCCCGTGCGACTCCCGTTGCAGCCCGCAAGCGAGAACTTCCACCAACTATTTACAAAGGGACCTTATTGTCCACCTCGTGTCCTGGCAAGAGAACAGTGATCACACGGATCCCTGCTTGAACTCTTTCCCTTCATCCTCTGAAGCTGAAGTTTGCCCAGCCCAGATATGCTGCAGCTCTCTACGCCATCCCGGGTTGCCTTGCCCCTCCATAGCTCTTCATGCTACCCAAGGTCCTTGAAGCCCCCAGAGTTGTCCTCCTTACAAGCCTGGGGCTGATCTGACCAGTCTTTTACTATCCGCCATGAAATAGCCTTTTTAACCAGCGTGGAGCTAGGCAAGTTCTAGAGGAAGATTATAACATGGTCAACTTAGTTTCACAAGGTAATACATTTTACATTTCCTTCTTTTTTTTTTTTCTTGGTCACGGTCCCACTCTTATCACCCAGGCTGGAGTGCAGTGGCACGATCATGGCTTACCTCAGCCTTAACCTCCTGGGCTCAGGTGATCCTTCCAGCTCAGCCGTCCACGTGGCTGGGACTACAGGCGTGTGACACCACTCCCGGCAAACGTCTTGATTTTTTGAAGAGACAAGGTCTCACTGTGTTGCCCAGGCTGGTCTTGAACTCCCACCTTGGCTTCCCAAAGTTCTGGGATTACAGGGGTGAGTCATCATGCCTGGCATTTATTTTTTTATTTTTTATTTTTTTTTTTGAGTTGGAGTCTCACTCTGCCGCCCAGACTGGAGTGCAGTGGCCGCTCCCGGTCACCGCAGCCTCGACCTGCTGGGCTCCGGCGATCCTTCCGCCTCAGCCTTCCGAGTAGCCGGAATTACAGGC